TGAACCTTTAATTAATAATTAATAAAGTTTTATTAGGAGTTACTATTTGCCTGGCTATTCTTAGTGTTGAGTTGATAAAAGACATACGATATGATCCATGGCATGAAGATGTTTATGATCTAGTGGAGTAGACAGTATGTACGTATATACTGTACATATTATATTACGTAATATGTACATTGTACATAATATATATGCACAATATTATATATATTATATGCTCCACTAGAGCATTAACACCTTCATGTTGTGGATTATATTACATTTCTTTTATTAGTTTAGTTCTGAGCATAGTCAAGCATATGTTTTTGTCACACCTGATTGCCAAAGGAGTGATACCAATAGAAGATTAATCTTCAGAGGAATATGTGGTTTCCATGGAGTTCACAGGAATCTATACATCTTCATTAATGAAGGGGAATTTAAGATGAATATTGAATATTAACTAGGAATGGATTGGACTAAGAGGAAACTTTGTGAGCAAAAGGAAGTAGGTGGACAATTCAAAAATGGGCAAAGGATACTTGAATAGACATTTCTCCAAAGAAGATACATAGATGGCTAATATGCACATGAAGAGATGCTCAACATCACTAATTGGGAAAATAAATGAAAATCAAAACTATAATGAAATATTAATTCACATCCATTAGAATATTTACTAGCAAAAAAACCAAGAAAATAACAAGTATTGTTGAGGATATGGAGAAATTTGAAGCCCTTCTGTACTGTTGGTGGGAATGTAATATGGTAAAACTGCTGTGGAAAACAATATGATGGTTCCTGAAAAAATTAAAAATACAATTGCCAAACAATCCATGAGTTCCACTACTGGGTGTGTATCCAAAAGAATTGAAAGCAGGGTCTCAAAGAAATGTTTGTACACTCATGTTCAGAGAGTGAACATGAGTTTAGTTATATTCACAGTAACTAAAATATGGAGGCAACCCAAATGTCCATCAATAAATGAGTGGATAAGCAAAATGTGGTAGATATAATATTATTGAGCCTTAGAAAGGAAAGAGATTCTGACATATACTACATGGATGAACCTTGAAGACATTTATGCTAAGTAAAATACCACTGAAGTATACACTTAAAAATGGTTAAGATGTCAAATTTTATGTGTATTTTAGCACAATAAAATAACTGAAAAAAATGAAGTGGGGGGGGGATGCATAGATGTATATTTTACTGATTTTCCAATTATGTTTTTATAACTCAGTATTACCTTTTAAATATTGTATAATCAAGAATATAGGATACAACTTTGAGACATCATTTTGTTATGGATATAGCATTAGACTTATATTTTCTTATATTTCTAATGAAGATTACTATTCCATATATTTAGTCAACTAGAAATTTCTCTGCAGTTTGAATGATGAGTTTGTCCCACCGACATGAAAACCTGATTGCGCCATTTCTTTATTCTGTTATCTTTGAGTTGTAGAAAGAATTTTGTATTTTATTTCACATAGTGTTTTTTTAAATATTGCAGATATAGATTGATATTGCAGATGTAGAAATTGTATTATGACATCATGAGCTAATGTTGATTGTAGTTATATTTCAGTAAATTGTCATTTGTATATTTTTCTAGTACCAATTATCTGTGATGGTCTCTTTTTCTTTTCAGGCAGAAGAAATGCATGAGTAAATTATTAGAATACAGTGCTGATGTCAATATTTGTAATAATGAAGGCCTTACAGCAGTAAGTGCTATCACTTTTATTTGAGATTTTAAAAATACATTTTAGAAAATAATATTGAATGTTATGGTAAAGCAAAGTGTGGAACAGGTATTACTGGAAGTTACTTGATAGTGATAAAAAAGGTGCAGAATGATTTGAAATAGAGTTTTCAGCTATATTTATTAAGAGAAGTTACAGTTTACTGTGTTTCTTGCTGCCGCTTTTTAAATTTATGACTTTCATTTATTTTGAAGTCTTACTCCCCTAACTTTTGTCATTGACTTTCAAAGCACTTCTTAGGAGCATCTCTCCCGAGGTGTTTATGAGTTCACTATTAGGAGAGATGTTTTTCATTATGTACTTTTAATATATTCATTGTAGGAAAATTGTATGGCTAGGCAGAAAGGAAGAAAAAAGGTAACAAGGAATGAATACTCCCTGTATTCCTTGCACTCAGATTATTACTGTTAACATTTTGGCCTATATTCTTTTAGACTTACTATATTTTATATACGCTCATGTTTTTGTCCATTTTGCCATATTTTGTTGCAAAATAAGTTAACATTTTTGATTCACTTAGATATTATAGGGAAGTGGTATGAGATATTGCTGAAGAAATTGTTGAAATCCCCAAATTTTAACCAAATTCTTATTAGTTAATGGAGCATTCAATTTAGAGTAGAGACAAAATAGAATTATGTGACTGTTGAACAATTGTTCTGAAGTCATGGCAAAAGATGTTAAGTTGTACATATTAAATTGTACCTTTCTTTGATAGTACTTATAGATTTTGAAGCTTTTAATTTGTGAATAAAGAAGAATATCGAATATTTATTTACCATGCCAATTTTCAAGGCCTTTATGATTAAAAGTTTTGGGATGAGGGCATAGAAAAACAACTTCCCTAAGATTCTGAATCACTTGTTACAGAATAAGCTCAATCGTGATTATTATATGGAATCTGTAATTTCTATAAAAATTCAGATTTTGTTGTACATTAGCAATATCATACACCATACACTTTGTAAGGAAAGACTTATTCAAAATATCTGTAGGATTCTTAGTTATGTGGTAGATGCCACAGGGTTATAAAACCCTAGAAATGACATAGATATTTCCTTAGGACACTTACCAGTTTGGGCAAGATAAGATGTTCAGTGTTAATGTAATCTGTTTTATCAATAAGTGTTTGTCTGCTAATTTCTCCCCTTCACCCCTGAACTTTAAGGGAGGTAGAGTAGAAAATTTGTAATAATAAAATTATTTAATAAAATTAGTCATATATATATTTAAAGAATCAAATGATTCTGCAAGGCTTGTTGTAGAAAACAGTGTCTTGGCCTTCCTCCCTAACCTCCAAATTTCCTACTTCTTAGGCAACTTCTGTCAGCTATTTTAATGGATTTTAAAATTTTATCTCTTTATATATACCTAAATAACATGCTGAATGCTACCTTCTGATATTTTGATTTTAAGCATCAGCTGTTGACTTTCTGGAAGATAAGGTTATTGTTCTTTTTTTAGCCCCTCCCCCATCCTGTCATGTATATGCACATTTCCTTCATATTCTTCTAATGTAGTCATTATAATTTTAGTTAGATAATTTTTCAGTGTTTTTATTTTTTGACTATATAAAGATTATTCATAATTAAGCTGAATAGTTTGCTATAGTTACTTTTCTTACTTACGTAACATTTTGTTTTTCCCGTAGTTAATGATTGCCTTTTTAAAAAAAAAAAAATTGAGATAATTGTAGATTCACATGCAGTTGTAAGAAATAATGCAGAGATCCCCTGTACATTTTTACTCAGTGTCCCCCAGTGGTAACATTTACCTACAGTATAATATCACAATCAGGATGTTGATATTAGTATAATTCATCTTACTGAGATTTGCCAGTTTTACTTATTTATGTGTATATGTGTATGTATATTAAGTTCTATATAGTTTTATTACCTGTGTAGGCTCATGTATTCACCACCATAGTCAATATTGTGAACATTTCCAGTACCACAAAGATCTACTGATGGTGCCTTTTTATAACCATACCTTTCTGTTTCTCCTTCATACCCTATGCCTAACCCTTGGCAACCACTAATCTGTTTTCCATTTCTAAAATTTTGTTGTTTCAGGAATGTTATATAGATGGAATCACACTATATGGAACCTTTGGGGATTGGCTGTTTTTGCTCATCATATTCCCTGGAGATTTATCTAGATTATTGCATTTGTCAATAGTTTGTTCCTTTATAATGTTGAATGAGTAGTATTCCAGGGAGTGGATGTACCACCATTTGTTTAACCCTTCACCTCCTGAGGGACATCTAGATCATTTCTGTTTTGGGCCTATTGTGAGTAAAGGTGCTATAAATAAGCATTAGTGTACAAGTTTTTATGTGAACATAAGTTTTCGTTTTTCTGGGATACATATTAAGGAATGGAGTTGCAGGGTTAGATGATAGTTTCATGTTTAGTTTTAAAATACACTACCTGTTGTTTAGAGTAGTTTTACCATTTTATATTTCTACCAGTAATGTATGAGTGATCCAGTTTTTCAGTTTCCTTGTCAGCATTTGGTGTTATCACTGTTTTTTATTTTAGCTATTATGATGGATATGTAGTGATGTCTCATTATGGCTTTAGTTAGCATTTGCCTAATTTCCAATGATGTTGAACATCTTTTCATGGGCTTATTTGCCATCTCCGTATCCTCCTATGTGAATTGAAATGTCAGTTCATGTCTTTGTCCATTTTCTAATTGGATTTCTTAAGCTGTTGTGAGAATTTTTATGTATTTAAGATAATAGTGCTTTGTCAGTTATGTGATTTGGAAATATTTTCTCCCACTCTTTAGTGTGCCTTTTTGAACTCTTAATAGGGTCTTTTGAAGAGCAAAATTTTAATGAAGTCAAATATATCAGTTTTTTCTTTTATGGGTCATGCTTTTGGTATCAAATTTAAGAATTCTTTGCTGAGACTCTGAAGATTTTCAGAAAGTTTTATGTTTTACATCTATTAATAATTCTATGATCTATTTTGAGTTAATATTTATATAAGATATGAGGTTTAGGTCAAAGTGTATTTCGTTGCCTATGAACGTCCAGTTATTCTAGCACTGTTTGTTGAAAAAGCTATCCTTCCTGCATGAATTTGGTTTTGCATCTTTCTCAAAAATCACTTGGACGTACTTGTGTGGGCTTATTTTGGGCTTTCTGTTTGTTTCACTGATCTATGTGTTTGTCCCTCTGCCAGTACCACACTGTCCTGATTATTATAGCTATAAGTCTCAATATCAGGGAGAATAATTCCTCTCACTTTATTTTTCTTTGTCAAGATTGTGTTAGCTATTCTGGTTCCTTTGTCATTTTAGAGTAAACTTGTATGTTTGCAAAAAACCCTTGCTGGGATTTTGATTGGAATTACATTAGGATAGATCAATTTGGAGAGAATTGACATCTTTACTGTGTTAATTGAGTCTTCCAATATACAAACACAGTATGTCTCTCCACTTATTTACGTCTTTGATTTCTTTTATCAACATTTTGTACTGTTCAGTATAGGGATTTTGCACATATGTTAGTTAGCATATAACTCTTTGATTTTCTTTGGAGCAATTGTAAATGGTATGTTTTAAATATGAGTTTCTTCATATTTGGTATTAGTAGATTGAAATACAGTTTTTTTTTGTGCTTTGATCTTGTATCCTGTGGTCTTGCTGAACTCACTTTTTAGTTCTGGGAGTTTTTTTGTAAATTCCTTGGGACTTTTTACATAGACAGTCATGTCATCTGCAAATAGAGATAATTTTATTTCTTCTTTTCCAATCTGTATGTCTTTTTATATCTGTTTCTTGCCTATTGCAGCTATTTAAAATTGTTTAAGTTTTCTAAGTAATTATTACTAATTCATTTCAAAACTCTCCCTCAGATTTGTAAATACCCTCTTAATATATATTCATTACCTTTCATGTTCTTGATTATGTGTTGAAGGAGTCTCTTAGTGGAGACTTCTGTCTCGGATGAATTGGCTGATTTCTGGGTCTACTGCGTAGTTGTTTGAATTGTCTCTTCATCATTATACTAGAGATTCCTTTTGCCTTTCTCTTACTTTGGGTTCTGTGATATATGAGCCCCATGTCTGTCTTTCCTGGTAACTATTCTGTTACTTTGGGGCACATCTTCTGGCAGTTTCCTGGGAATGGGTGCATGGAAGGTAAGTTTGTTGCCAACTTGCATGTCTGAATATGACTTGAATCTCTGAGTCTGTCTCATTATATAATTGACAGTTTAGATGACAATATAATTCTAGGCTGGACATAATTTTTCCTTAGAGTTTTGAAAGCATTGCTTTGTTGTCTTCTATCTTTCAGTTTTGAGGTTTGGTGCCATTTTGATTCTTGATTCTGAATATGAAAACTTTTGTTTTTTTTTCTCTCTAGAAACTTATAGAATTTTTGTCTTTAGTGTTCTAAAATTTCATGATTATATATTTTGGTTTGGATTTATTTTAACCGTTTGGCTGGATGATACTCAGGTCCTGCTAACCTGGAAACTCAATGTAGTGGGAACTCATGAGAAATTTTTGTAAGTTATTACTTTGATGATTTTCACTCCTCTGTTTTTTCTGTTCTCTTTTTTGCTAACTCCTATTATTTGAACATTAGACCTCTTAAACTAGCCCTCTAATTTTCTTAGTTTTTTTCATTTCTTCATTTTTCTGTACTTTCTGGAGACTTCCTTAACATTATATTCTAGGTCTTTTAAGTTTGCATGTCTTTATCACAGCATTAATTGCCAAGAGTTCTTTTTTTTCTTTTGCATTGTCCATTTCAAAAAAATAGTGCCCTATTCTCATTTCGAGGATGCAATCAGTATGTTGTCTCTCTGAGAGATTAAATATAGTTTTTTCCTTCAGATAGTCATAGTTCTTTTTCGCCCTCTTTTTTCTTTTTTGTTTGTTTTGTATTTTGTCTTTCAAATTAGATGCATTTGTCAAATGTTTAGTGGAACATGAAAAAGCTATTTGAAAGCTGTTAGCATGAGTGAGGTTTCTTACCAGTGTAGGATGATCTACTTGGGCATTTGATTTAAGATTGATGTTAGGTTGAATTCATGCTTTACTATAATCTCCTAGTCTGTTCATGTTAAGTTTTTTTTTTTTTCCACATTTAACATTATTGATAACAGAATGTAATTTAGTCAGGTGCAGTGGCATGCCCCTGTAGTCCCAGCTACTCGGGAGGCTAGGCTTAAGTGGTAGGATCGCTTAAGCCCATGAGTTTGAGTCCAGCCTAGACAACATATTGACATCTTGTCTTTAAAAAAAAAAAAAAAATTCTTGAAGTGGGAAAAAATTTTATGGACTTAAAATATCTTTAGTTCGCAAATTATGTTCAGTTGAGAAATAATAACATTATATATTTGCTGTTTTTATATGAAACACTCCTGCACAAATGTTAAGTAACTAAATGGCTTTACAGATACACTGGCTGGCTGTGAATGGGCGGACAGAACTACTCCATGACCTTGTGCAGCATGTCAGTGATGTGGATGTTGAAGATGCTATGGGGCAGACAGCGCTGCACGTGGCCTGCCAGAATGGTCACAAGACGGTAAATTCAGCCATGAGGACTTTAAGTTGCATGTGTTTGTGCTTGAAAACTTTGAATTCTTGAAAAGGTTTTCACTGTGTGTATTTGGGAACATGATACATTATAGCAAAATCATATTTTCTGCATCATGTGGACTGATTAATATATTCTTTGTGGGTAGAGGGAATAGAAAATAGTGCTTCTAAATTTATTCAAAATATTTATAATTTTAATTTTGATTTTATTTTCAATTCATAGATTTTAATAGCTGAATATAGCAAATTTTTAAGTGTATATTTAAATACAATTTTAACAGTTATAATGTTTATTTTCAGTTTTGGCAAATAACTTTTCCATAATTTATTTATTTATTATTAGGCCTAAACTGTTGAGATTAGATAGTGAGGAAAGTGTGCACTGACACCACTTAAATAGTTCAAGTTGGATTATCATATTTTTCTACTTTCTTGATAAGTGACTCAAAGTGCTAGAGAGACAGTTTCTTTCTTTCTTTAGATTTTTAAAATCACACATTTGTTTTATGGCAGTGCTTCATGTTATTCCTTTGTCTAAACACTTGGCTTTTGAAATTGCTAATAGTTTTCTCTCTCATTAGGAGACTTTGCTGTCTAATATAAAGATTGAGAACTTAAGATTTTAGATTGAATTTCTGTTTTGCTAAAATTTCCTATCCTATTTACATTTAGGTTTTTTTTCACAGTGAACATCATTGATAATAGAGTGTAACTTAGCCAGGCGCAGTGGTGAGTACCTGTAGTCCCAGCTCTTGAAAGGTTGAGGTGGGAGGAGTGCTTGAGCCCAGGAGTTCTGTGCTGTAGTGTGCTATGCCGATTGGTGTCCGAGCTAATTTCGGCATCAATATGATGACTTCCTGGGAGCGAGGGACCACGAAGTTGCCCAAAGAAGGGTAACTCGGCAGGTTGGAAATGGAGCAGGCAAAAAATCCTGTGCTGATTGATAGTGGGATTGGGCCTGTAAATAGCCACTGTACTCCAGGCTGGGTAACATAGCAAGACTCTGTCTCTTTAAAAAAAAAAAAGAATGTACTTTATTTTCTTGCTAACCATGACAATAACAACAACAAAACCAACTGAAAACAAAAAATCACTACCAACAACTACAAAGATACATACTTTGTTTATTTAATTGTATTTTTTGGTACAAACTCTGTGAGTGTTTATCTCTTTTGTTGGGAGAATTCCTAGTGGAATTTGGATATTTATCTCTTCAAACACTTTTCCCCTAACTTGGGTTCAGGATGTATGATCTTGGATGTTTACATGCTTTATGTGTGATCACAATTCCCAGAATATTGGACTTCTTCAAGATAGTGAAGCAAAAGTTGACTTTGTCTTATGTTTAATAGGGGTTGAAAAAAAGAAGGGATATAGGATCCTTTTACTTTCTCCTGCAATTTTTCTCTGAACACCAATGTTCATTTGTGTTTTTTGTTTTTTGTCATCTGAAAACGAACCCAGTGTTTTCTAAGTATTCTTCCTCAATAGTTCTTACTGCCTTAAAGTCAGCATTATTAAATTTGAAAAGTATTCTGTGTGAAACAAATGATCTGAAATGTCCTAATTTTGAATGAGCCAGGTTTTTCAGGCACTATTACATATTAGAGCGAGAGTCCTGCTGATAGCTCTCAGAGGACAGAGGGGTGCCTACTTTAATATTAACATTCTCTGCTATAACAGATGAACAGAGTGTCATTTACTAGAACTTACAAATTATACCTGTTTGCCGGAACTTGTATAGGAAAAATACTGGGATTCAGATTAGAAATGATCTATAAAAGGTAATTTTAGCTGCCTTGAACCAGAGTAGAAGCAAGAATTACTGAGAAAACCTTGGTTTAAAACATGTGCATTACAAGCTGCATTAACAATTTAGAATTTCCTTCTGAAGTTATTGAAGATTAGGTGGTATAGCTATAATATACTCCATATGGTTTACAACCTAAAGCAGGTGTGGTTAAAGTAATGGAGAACTCCTCATAGTAAGATGCCTTTGAACAATTGTATTGTTAGAAGATTTATAGGGAGCCTGACTTCATTGCAGTGATGAGTTTCACAGGGTGAGATTTTGCAGAAAGGGTAGAGGAGGAAGGGTACAAAAAGTTCTTTTGACTTGTGGTTGATTGTATTGGCCAGTGATATTCTGTCATAGTTAGTCAATTATAGTTATCTACAGTGATAATATACAGATGAAGGGAATGCTTAGTACTCTTTTTTTAATCATTGTATGTATCTTTGATTCTTTTTCAATCAGGGCAAGAAGGAATCCTGAACAATTTAGTCTATCTCTTTGCCTTCAAGGTGAATTATACTTGTAAAACTCTATGTTGATACTTGTATTAATATTGCCTGTGTTTTAGAATTACTGTTGTATTTCTGGGACAGGTTCTAATCTCAGTGGATGAGCATATCCTTTTTATCTTGAGTTGGATATGATTTACTGGGCTATGAAATATGATATTATAGGGCAGGGATTACTGATTTTTTTTTAAACCTTTGTGTATCTTTTCATAAGTTGAACACTTAGTCTAAAGTGCTTTGTCATATATCCTAGTGACTTAATTTCGTGGGAAATCAAAAGAGCCTTTTTGTTGTCTCAAAGTAGCCAGTTCTTGCATAAATTCATTAAAAAGTCTTCAGAACTTGTGTCTGTGTAGACATATACCAGAGCATGTAGGTTTCAAGATTTTATTTTTAACCTTAAAAGCTTGCATATTGATTATATATTTTATAGTATAAAATATAAAACTTTAGAGGGGGAAAGAAACTCTGCTAAAAAATATTTTAAAAAACATAATCAGCTCTTTTCAGAGAGGTGGGGATGATAAATCCTGAAATTTGCCATCTTAGAGTAAATCTCAGGATTGCATGAAAAGATTTTGAGCAAGTAGCTGAGAGTCCTAAACCTTTATAGAATTTATAATTGAATACTGTATTCTTGCTTTGATGACAAGAAATGCTTTTTCAAATTTACATTACTTTTTTTAAAGATAAAAGATTTAGAAGTTATAACTATGAAATTGAGCAATCTTTATCATAATTTCATATAGATACAGCTGTTTCCTTAGAGGTAAACATGATAAAGGCGTTTTCATCCTCTAGTTGGAAGGAAGTGGTTTGGGCAGTTGAAGTGTGCATTCTAACTGCTTTTTTTTTTTATCCTTGCAGCATAATAGCACTGATTTTAAACTACATCTATTCCTATTTAATAATGATCAGATGAAGGAAATGATCATAACTCCCTAATAATTTTATTTTTATATAAGTTTTCTTAGATCAGCTATTGTACTGCATTATTAGCTATACAATACCAGAATTATGATTTGTCTTTGGACATTTATTTAAAAAAAATCATTTCAGAGTTTGGTTATTCAGCTAGCTTACTCTATAGTGTTTGGCAACATTTTCCTTCCCTGCCCTTATCCCTCTCATAAACTGTATTCTAAATAGTGATGATATAATTAGGGAAAGTGTTACGAATACTTTGGAAGACATTTAAAAACAATAACATGCATTGCTACTATTACTATTGTTATAAATATGCATGATGTGGTTCTGTAAAAGTACAGAGATCAATATCTGGACCCTTTATTTGTTTACTCTTGTGTAAGAAGCTAGGTTCAGTGTGGTGGTTGATTTTTAATTTCAATTTTAGAAAATGTAGTAAAACATAACATTATTCTGTGTTGGTATAATTGACTCAAATTTTTTTGACCATAAATTGAACTTATTTTTTCTTTGTTATTAGATCTTTAAGATGTAAATGTGTTGAATTGCCACAAATGGTTGATTACTATCTTCTTTGAATAAACTTGGATTTAGAAACCCTAGAGAAATGTCAAATGGTTCAATCTAAATTTATAGAAGTTAGATTATATAGCAGGATTAGTTTAGGGACTAATCCATTTAAAATGAAGCTTTATTTTTATCAGAATAAACTTTATTTTCCTAAATTTATATAACTGAATATGAAGCTTTACAAGCAATATAAAATGACAGTTGAATCCTTGTTAGAATAGATTTAAGCTCCTGAAACTTAAAAGCAGTTGTATGACATTGGTATAATAGGCTATCTTTGATAGAACTGACTGCATTTTTTACTGAAATTGTAGACTTGTTAAGGAACACTGGTCACCTACATTCAGTCAGCTCTCTTGATATCTTTAGCCAGCTTCCAAGCTTTTCATCCAGAGAGTTACCGGACAGCCATGCAAACTTAATTGAAAGTGTTTGCAAAACATTAATCGGATTCAGCCTTGAGGCACCAAGGTAGGTAGACTGACATTTCAGAATGTATTTTTAGGTTCAGAGTAATTTTATTTATTTTGATGCTAGAATTCTGCTTTAATCACTTCTTGGAAATTGGAGCAAATAATAGAAAGTTCACTTATCACTGTTACTTTTCTAACACACTGGATAATAATGATTTTTGCTAGATATTATTAAATACGTAAGAGTTCAAAGTCTCAATAGGTTAAGGTGGACAGGATTCTAGAGAAGACCTGTATAAACCAGTCACTGGATTAGTGAGTTGGCAATTTTCCTTAGTGTATAAATTATTTGTGCGTTGCCATAAATCTTGTCATCAGAATTAGTTTTAATAAAAAATAAAATTAGGATGCTTTTTTTGTTTGGTCTCCTTTTAGCAAATGATAATACCACAACTTTGATTTTTACTTATAGTTTTATTATTGAATATCTATTCTTTTTTACTTTGATCAGTGTTGTTTTGAGAGTTGACGTTGATAAAGTAGAGCCTTGGATTTCTTGCTTTGTAATTTATCAGTGTATTGGGCACAGATGGTCTTAGTTAGTCACTGCCTTCAATTAAATGACTTTTGAGATTGACCCACACATTAGCTTTGTACATTAGTTTTCCACTCAGGATATTGTTTTATTACTTGAAAGGTTATGAAGTCTTGAATGTGTTGTTTCTTCTTAAGGGTCTCCTAAAGGCCTTATGAAAATCCCCAGTGCTTTTCT